CAAGCAATTACAGAACACGAATCTATATATATGTACATATATATATATACACACACACGTGAGCAAATCTCTCTTACTTCTTATTTAGTTATTGTTAATTTACATTTAAAATCATAATAACAAAAAATTGTAAGCTGTCCATAATAATACAAAATTAAAACCAATAATCTAGCATGGATGAATACAGTACAAGCGTGCAGATATATATATATATATATATATTTCTGTATATAAGAAGAGAGGAAAACCTATTAAATTACCTTAGTTAGCGCTTCATTAATCAAAACTGCAAATAATTAAGTTAATCCATCATGTTAAATAATTATTAAAGGAAAAAGAAGAAGAAGAAACATAATTCATTCCGACTTAATTAATTACTAATTAGGTTTTACTCCATGGTTACCATGATCCTCCTCCTCCTCCTCCACCCAACATGCCACTGCCCCAAAACCCACCAGTACTACCATCATCGTCTCCTCTATTATTATGATTATTCTCAAACTGAATCTGAATCGGATCAGCCTGCTTTGTGCCTTGATCCATGGGGAACAACAATCTTGCACCACTCTCTTGCACACCACCACCTTGTAATTGCAGACAACCCTCCAACCCATCAAGAGAAAAGCTCAATGTCGGCTTATTCAGTTCCTGCAACGTTAACCCACTTGAATAAACTGAATCATGATGAGGAGAAGAAGATGTAGTAGTAGTAGTAGTGGGGATCGCCATGAATGAACTCAGATTCCTTGAAGTGATTATCTCAGTCTTGAAGAGCTCCATGGGTGAAGAATTAGTAGGGTTTTGATGAAGATGATGATCATCAACAAACGTGGAGTAATCATGATGATCGGGAGGAGGGTAAGCTAGGTTGAGCTCTTGACTTCCATGAATCTTATTAGGGTTCTGATGGGTAGTAGTAGTAGTACTGTTAAGCTTTGTTGATGATGATAATGGTGTTGATGGAGACGACGACGACGATCTTTTCGTCTTCCTTGAACCTCCTCCTACGGGAACATTTCTGAGGGAACCACCTTCAGTCCAATACCTTCTGCAAGTTTTGCAGAAGTAGCGAGGCTGAGAAAGGCTGTAATTGTTATAGTAACAAAATTTGGTGTTGTTTGAACTGCAGCGAGGACAGTTCAAGGCTTGATCTTTTAGAGGCCTGCAAGTTTTTCTGTCCAACAATGGCGGTGATCTTGAACATGTACTTTCGGTGGACATTGTTTTAACCACACCAATCCCCTGAAACCCAAAAACAAAAAGCTATTAACCCAGCTGGAGTTCATGATCATAACAAAGCTTTTGTCTCAGAAAAAATAGAGAAATTTTTGAAGAAGAAGAAGAAAAAAAAAAAAAAAGCTATGAAACGACTGGAAAAACGCATGACTCCATGATCAAGACAGAAGCTTTTTGTTGACACAGAAAGAATCTGGGGAAAAAACCAAATTGAAAAAAAGAAACCAAAAAAAGCTGTAAAAGAGATTGGAAAAATCAATGATCAAAACAGAAGTTTTTATCCCACAACAAGAATTATGGATAAAGATTGAAGACAAAAGACCGACGACCCAAGACAGAAAGACCAAGATATGTTATTTATATATACATATATATGCGTTTTACATACATATATAGAGATATAGGAGAAAAAAGAGAGCTACTTTTACACTTTGAAGATATTTCTTCTGATCAGATGGGTGGAATTTAAAAGATAAAAAAAAAAAAAAAAGTGCAACACTTTCAAGAACAAATCATAAAAGCTCTCTCGATCTCTCAAAAGACAGAAACATAAATTCAAAGATTAGTGGGGGCTCAACTCAACAAACAAAAAGTTAAAAAGAGAAAATTAACTTTAGAACAAAGGCTATAGTGATATTTACATCAATTTCAATAAAGAAAATTTCTCAAAACCCAAAGAGAATATATATATATATATATTCTAATACTAATTAACTATAGCTATTTCCCAGAAAATCCCATCACACCCAAGAGAAAAAGGAAGAGAAAAAGAACATCAATATTCACGATTTCATGATCAGCAGAAAAATAAAAATAAAAATAGAATAAAATAATTAATTACCTGTGGCCACTGAGCAGTACCGCTTTCCATGGATGAAGAAGAAGAAGAAGATGATGAAAAGTGGAAGAAGAAGAAAAAGGGCTATGGAGTCTTGAAGGAGAGGAAATTGAATCACCTGCTTTTCTTTTTCTTGTTTCAGGGTGTGATGTGTGAACGCACTGAGGAGAAGATGGTGTTTACATGCGTTGGGTTACTCTATGAAAAAGAGAGATGAGAGCACTCAGCACTAGCAGGGGCAAAATTGTCTTTTCACGATGCACATACATACATACATATATATATATATAAAGAAATTCATTTATTTACCATAATTTTTACATGCATACATATATATATATATATATACCCATTGGGTATTATCAATTGCAAATTATAGTTATATATTCTTTATTCTTAGTGGCTGTATTTGTGTGTATACACTCCATATATATATATATATACACACACACCCACATACAAACACGTATACACTCGACTAGAATATTTCATTATTTGTTTGTTTTTTTTTTTTTTTTTTGGTTTTACGAGTAAAAATTTATTATTTTAAATTACCAAAAAGCTTATTTTTTAATAAAATTATATTATTTATTGGTTGAAAATTTCTTTTAATTATATATACATTAATTATAACAAAATACATAATTTAATCTCAATTTATTTATAAAAAAACAAAATAGTAAGCATTCACATAATAAATAATTGGATTGGTACATAAATACAAAATATATGTACATATATATATATGTATATGTATGTATGTATGTATATGAGTTGATTAAATGGCGAAACGTGTCCGATTGAACCATGATGTTAAACTACTGTAAAGAAGCCGTGCAGCCTGCACGTGCAGTCTAATCCCCCAGGACCGTTCGATGAAATGATGAATGATTCCGATCAACGGACGTCACGTGATGGGCTTTTGCAAGGACGTGGGTGCCAATCTGCATGCGTCTGCCTCACACGTCACCCGAATTCCCCATGGCTAACCACTACAACTGCAACTATTAAATTCTATTTTCATTTTTAATACATTATTATTATTATTATTATTCAATTAAAAAAATAAATCTTTTTTAAAAAAAAAACATAATAATTTCATTAATTAAACCTAACCCTTTTAATTTTATTAATATACTAATAAATTAAATTTTAAATTTTATTAAATTAAAATTCGTAATTTTTAAATAAAATTCTAAATAATTAATAAAATAAAATATTTGGTGACCCATAATTTTAATTACACAAATTTAAAAAACAGCGTGGTAATATTATTTCTTTTAAATATTAATTTACGTTTAAAACAAAAAGAACAACGAAGACGTCAACGTGACATCAGAGGGCCCGGCTTTATTCGTGACTGGGCCCGGATGACGCTTCACTTAATATTCTCCCCTTTCTAATACAATAAGCCACATTTTCTTATATGACCAAAAATTTAATATTTTTTATCCCACAAAATTTGGAATTAATTACAAATAAAAAATTAAACATGTTGAATAAATGGCTTAAAAGAGGGATTTTTTATAAATATTTCTATAAAAAAATTTAAATTAAATACATTTTTTTTTCTCTCTACTTAACTTCTTGTATTTAAAATGATATATATATCTATTCCGACGATAGTATCGTTTCATAACATAATGAAAAAAAATTAGGGTAATATATACGGTTTTTTCAATAATTAATAAAAAATAAAATACAGATTTACTTTTATTTAATATTTTGTCTTAAATTTTTTGACTCTTCGATGCTCGATCACATCGTCATCGTCTTTTTCGACGGTCGGGGGAGTCTCAGAGTAGGGAAGCAAAGAGCATTAACATGGTAACATCTAATCCTCTGGCTTAACGAACAAGCATTTCTTAAAATAAGTACCAAAGCATGTTTAAGGAAGGAGACGTAATCCAACCAAACATGGAACAAACCAAATCCAAACTTAAACCAGCCAATCCAAGAAAGAGAATTAACCGTGGGTCCCGCTAGTTGAAATCAGCTGCTGCTGGGGCCCAGCAGTAGCTTGTTCCAAACATGCCCTTGAATGTAAAATTACATATTTGCCCTCACCTTGTCCAACAGACATGATAAAATATATCTCCAAGTTGTATAGTTAAAAACCAGTTATGGTCTTATAAGGCTTGTCATGTCACCGACAAACTAGAGCTACTGAACCTGTCCTGCATCTAATTCCACCTAAACTGACTTACGCTAAAGGTCCAACAAAGTAGTTATATGTAGTTCTTACGTGTGTGTGTGTGTGTGTGTGTGTGTTGAAAAATACCCTTGAGCCAATTTTCATGCACTAAAACTAAATTTGTTTTAAGTGATCTTAAAAATTCTACATCAATATCCTCCAATAAATACATATATGTATGTATATATATATATATGTCTGGAGCATACTTCTAACATCTCGCCTTAAAACAAGAATCTATGAATCAGGAAGGTTGAAGAGAATTTTACCCAGATACAAAGTGTGTCACAACACCATCTGCATCAACCAGATAAATGATGATATTTACTCAATACAACTTGCAGACATCGATGAATTTCTGGACAGCATTTTGATACTGAGTTCCCTGCAAATGACAAAAATTAAATGGCGCTTTTGTCAGTCTGCATTTTTACGAAGGAATGCGTGATTTTTAAGAAAATTAAAAAGCAGAATACAATGTTTAATTCAAGCAAGGGAAGAGAGATTCGACCAAATGTGCTCGAGGCATGTAACTATAATTATGGATCATTAGAAGGGGCCTCTCAGCCAGAAATGTATGAAAAGAACATAATTCTGCACAATCATTAGATCATAATTGAAATCGTTTCAGTATCTCTGCTCAGCACAATGCCCTATTAGTGGCCTTAAAGTCATATATAGGGGACTTCTTAAGTCCTTGCATATAAAGATAGCTACGGCAATGCTACTGCCACACCTTCCACGAACATAAGTGAACAGACACCTCAAAGAAACCCCATCTTTCCTAGGAGAATATCTCATCCTCAGATCAAGGCTTGTTAGAATATTTTGAACAAGAAAAGCTTATTAAGGCCATGAAACTTGTTCTAAGAAATGCCCTGCAGCAAACCCATCTTGTATGTATTTATAAATAGGCCTCCAAAACCATGAGAATAACAAGTTCACAAGTTCGTAGTACTTCACCATTATCACACTTCAAATCTAAGAGGTGAGTTTCCTCAGATATTCTAAACTGGCTCTTGAATCTTGAAAGACTGAATAGTTTCAAAGGGAGAAAAATATGAAATCAATTTCAGAGAAGAGAGTAAAACAAGCAAGAGAAACAGCTAAACTGAAATATCTTACCTCCCAGTAGAGTTGGTAGCAATCCATGCACTGCCAAAATTCTAAATTTTTGTCAAATAAACAGCTAGGGATTCTTTGGAAACCCTTTGCTGCTTCAACAGCCTCTTCTGTTGTTAAAGGTTTCTGAATAAACTTCCCATTGCATTTGGTGCACCTTGACATGAGTTGATCCTCACTAATCTTTAGTTGGAAGACTTCAATTACCTACAGAAGTCATACAGATATGAAAGTTCCAATTACCTGCTTACAAGCATAAGGGTTGACTGATGAATGTTCAGTTTGGATACCTCAAGTAGCTGCTCATTCTTCAAAAGACTCTTGACCCGATATATTTGATTCTTTATCAAATACTGATATCTCAATAATTTGGCATCTCGTGTCAACAAAACTCTCTTTTCTTTTGATGCTTGATCAATTAACTCCCTGAGTGAAAGAGATAAAAAAAATGGATGAAATCATGCTTAGCAGTCAAAACATACTTTCAGACATCAAAATCACATCTGCAAGTTAAAAAGTCAAATTTTAAGACCTGGATTCTGGTTTCTTGGAATAAGGATTAGCAGCATCTATCCCCACACAGCGCAAGTGTTTGGCCAGGCCTTCAACCTGCATAAAAATTTGAGAAGTATCAAATTTTCGCTATAAAAATTCTGTTTCCTGAAGTGAAAACCAAGGACAAGCTGTTTTTTACAATTATCCTAAAAGAGAAGCAGAAAGTAATAAATTTATCGCAAGTCTAGATCACTGCAAGCATGAGATCTTTTGGTTGGTTGGTTGGTTGGTTGGTTATATTAAAAGCTAAGCCACCATAGAGAACAGAAACAAGCACAAAGAACATTTACCATGACATCACAAAGAAACTTTGGACATCCATCACCTCCCAAGGACGAGTCCCATGGCGGAGGCCCTTGCCAATCACTGGAATTTCCTAACTGCTTTTCTCTGTTAATAGCAACCACAGGCAGGCGTCTTTTCCCTTTCCCCTTGGAGGTTTTTGGTTTTCTATCTGATTCTCTTAACAAAATTTTTTCACCATGTTTTTTTACTATCTTCAAGAGCAATTCATCCATAGGCATGGTATTTCTGCATGGTATCCTTGAAACTATTCCATCAACAATACTTTGACAACATTCAGAAGAAACAGTAGCTTGGACTATATCTAAAGCTTTATGAAGTTCGACTCTAATAATTTTGTTACCAACATCTGGTTTCTCGAGAATTTCTTTCAAGCCAAGGTTCATATTTGATGAATAATGCACAGTTGCACCATTATGAGTAGCCCCTGCAACAACAAAATCCACAGAAAAATCAGAACGAACTTGTATCTCATTTTAATCCTCAAAAGCCCAAGGGTGTCATTGGATTTACACCAGTCACGTATATGTTCCAGTTATCCAAATAAATTTAAGGGGTCCAAATTAGTTCGAAAAAACTTCCCTACAGATATAGGCATCACGAACCTTCTTGAACAAATTTGGCCTTGAAGACATCAAATATTTGGAGCAAGCATTGAGCATCCATAGCTGCATACGCTTTCTGCTCTTCTGTAAGAGGACGATGGGACCAATCACTACATTGAAGCTCCTAAAGCAGATATATTTAGATTACAATTAACAACTTCATCACAATATTGCATCTCATAAATTACAATCCGAGAGGAAGAATACAATCCATCAAGCAACCTTACCAAATGTAAAACTACAAATTGATTCAATGCAGCTAGTTCTTGTGCAGTTTCTTTCATGTTCTACCACTCAACTGTTAAAAGAATAATAATTTAACTGAACCAAACAGACCATAAATATTTTAAGTGATTCATAATTATCTTAACACTAACAAATACAAATTTCTAATGAACAATTACTCGAAGCAGGATCAAACCTTAGAAAGAGAAATGCCCAGAACTTCTCTGCATATCGTTGATAAATTCTTGATTTCCTTTGGCATCTTTCTTCCAGGTTGCTTATGTTGCAGGTGATTTGATGCACTTATAATATCTAGGTAGGGCTCCACCTGTTCAACATTCAAAATGTAATGGCATTTTTTGTCATTGCGGAGTTGCATAAAACCGTTGATCCTCAGTAAATACTCGTAAATGTATAACGAACTTTTTCAAATTAAACAATAATCAATTATGATAAGATTGTCAATTTTAACAATTAAGTAAATTTCAACAATTAAATGAATGACCTACTAATTTATTATTTTATTTTTTTTATTTACTTATAACGGTTCGAACCAACTTAACATATATTTAAAATAATATATAACCGTTGTAAAGAAAAAGTATTAGAATTTGGTAATAACATTC